GCTTCCAGCCCTGAAGGAATTGAATTGCTTTGCTCAATTGCCATCTAACGCTTTGCCATACTTTTAATTTCTCTGCCAACATTGCTCAGCACTTGCAAGTTTTAGCCATCAGTGAGAATCAGCAATTGGGCACAGCTTCAAATGGCTCATTTTTCTAGGTGGTGGTGTAGTTATTCTGCTACAGAACATTCCTGGACAAAGTGGTATGCTTCAATGCCCATATTTTTAATAAGGGGATTCCTCTTGAATGAACAAGTTCAGGATCATTTAAGGAGTTCATGTTTTGCAAAGTGTTGGATGTTCACCTTCATGGAAAATCGGGTGTCTGTTCAACCTCAGAAGTCCTCAACATATGCACAAAGAGCATGTAAGAATGCTGGTGTACCATCCCAGGAAGCTATACCCTGAGTAGGAGCTGCAGGCCAACTCAAGATCTTGCAGGTGAAGCCTGAACTGGAGGTTGCAGAAGATGGATTATATGTTCTTGAAACAAAATTTCCAAAGCTACTGTCAGTCATTTCTGCATTATGTTCCTTATTAATGCAACATCTGTGACCTGATTCTAAATTTTTCATAGATCCTTGGAGCAATGGACCATTTCTTTTTGTTAATTCCATTGCCATTGTGATCATGTTTTCCTACAGAATACTTGTCTGAATTTGCTTTCATGTCTCAACAGTTTGGACAGAACAAGGTGCAACAGGGGAATTTCTGACATTTTTGAAATTTTTTTCTTTGCAGGCTGTTTGTGACTTCTTTTCATCTTGGTGCTTGCAAACTATGTAGGAAGACAGCCTTAGCTAAGCAACTTATTGCATCTTTTTCCCTAAAGTGACCTTCTGTCACTATGGCAGGAAATCCTTGAAGTGTCAACAGCTGTTCTCCTTTTTGTGACACAGCTCACATAAAAGAAGAACCTGAAGATTAGTTTCAAAGCAAGCGCTTAATATATAAGAAGTGTTTCAAATACTGAGAAGTGAAGAAGGAGGACATAGGCCAGGGAAGAGATGACAGATAACATGACTTGTGAAGACATGTCAGCAACAGAAAAATCATCAGAGGAACCTGGATTACATAATCTTGTAGCTAAAGCTGTAACCAGAAAACTCCATTCAGGGTTTGCTCCTATTAACTTAGACACATAATTTTAATATTAAATCAGTCAATCATAATGAAAAATCTCGATAAAATTGTGTTTTGATGGCTTATTTGATGTGTGAGCTTGACTAGATTGTCTACAATGTGCCTTCTAACCTGGGCATCTGCTCCAGTGTCAAACAGGCTGATATGGAGTAGCTCACGTGACAGAACTATCCTGACCTTAAAACAAAAGCCTGTCCTAGAGTTTCACAATTTCTGTAGCACCAGAGTCTGGCAGTAGCCTTAGAATTGAAAAGACTGAAAGCTTTAGAAACAACATCTGTTACAACTGATCCTACATAAGAAAACCCTTGAGTCCTATTGTGCACTTAGGTTAGGCACAGCTTCACCTCTATTAGCCATTTTCTGATACTTCCTTCAGGGATTCAGCAGGCTGCTTTTTGGGGGCAAGAGGATTGGAGGAGCTGAATTTGGATTTTTGAGCAACCATATAAACTCCAGAGCTGTTGCAAGCTGTGGAAGGTTGGTGTGGTAAGGATGAGAGGGCAGAGTGACTGTGAGTCTGTCCCCAACAGCCAAGAACAAAACATGGACATAGAAAGCAGCAGCTCTTCAGATTACTTTTGTTTGGAGCAAGGTAATGTTTGAGGTCTTCAATCTTTCTGGTAGGTCTGAACTCTAACCAAGAGTTGCTGATGTGAAAGTGCCAGTTGCTACAAGTTGATTGTAAAAAAAAGGTTCTATTTAAAATAGTGTTTCCTGGTATATCTTGCATTGCCTGGCAAAGCCACTTGTGATCTGAACTTCTCTTCTGTCCTAGGTAGGAAGAGTGAAAAATAACTATACATTATGATCTTTGTCCTAAAATACATGTTGTGCTGGGATGTGGTGTATTGAAGCCCAGCTCGTGTATAGTACCGCTTGACAAAATCTGTAGCTGGGAGTTTTGAGATGTTTTCTCTGGGTAGTCTCAGTTGACCTCTTGGGTTTAGGTTTTTATCAGGTTTATCCAAGTGTTAGTTGGAAAAAATCTCTGTGTTGATGTGTTTTGTGTAAATGTTGTCTCTGCATGGATCTTCCTGTGAGGGTCTGTGCCTCTGGTCTCTCATGTCTAGGATGTCTTTATTTTTCTTTAGGATGTGTCCTGTCTGTGTCTCCTTAGTTGACTTTCCAAAATTGTTCTACTGCTGTCCTGAAATAAACTTCATACTGACTTTTTTCAAAAGTTAAAGGATCCCTAAGGATTTGCTTTTCCATAGTGGTCACTCTACAAACTATTGAGGCTGCAGTCACACTATGCCAGCTCCTCTTTCACCCTAGAATATATTCCAAATGCAAAACACAGAACAGTGAACAGTTGCTACAATGAGTCATGCTTGTGGAAGTATTAAAAGGTTAAATAACAAACTCCTTTAGCAAAGTCATGATTGCTAAGGATGGCAAAAGCCTGCAGTACTTGCAGCTGGGGGAAATACCACAGGCACTTCTAATCTTAAATCTGCCAGAAAGAAAGGCAGTAACAGGAACTGTATATGGATGTTTGGTTATCCAATCTTAGAATGGATCTAACAGCTTTCAAGCTACAAGTAAGAAAATGCACAAGAGGAAAAACACCTTAATTATGGTCAGAAAAATGACTGTCAAGCACGGCTTTATCTCTGTTCCATGGTGTTTCCTCTTGCTAAGGAGAACACATTGGTGAGTTGGACTGTTTTCTTTTCCTGGAATGATGAAATTTAAATAGCAATAAATAGGTCCTGTGGTGTCTCAACCTGTTTTCCTGTTGAGGGAAGTAGAACATGACTAAGCCCAAAGGCTCGGTCTTTTAAACGGGCTATAAAAAGTTCTGACAATCAAAGAGGCTCCACTTGTGCGTTTTTACCTTCAGTGAATATCTCCATGCTTTTTTGGAGGGAGAAGGGCAAGTGGGTATATACCTCCTTAAATTTCATCAGTATTGCTCATCTATAGTCACATTTTAAAGTTTTTTTTAAAGAGAGGTATTTTTCTGAGAAGGATTCTGAACAACTTTTGTCTACTAATGGTTCGAGTAATTCCACTGAACTAGAACAAGGAAATGACAGACCAGACTGTTCCAGCCCTTAGCCAGTTAATTTTATGGTTTGGGGTGGGGGTTGTTTTTTTAGTTTGTTTGGTTGGTTTTGGTTTGTTGGTGGTGGTTTTGTTTTTTGTTTTTGTTCTTTTTTGTTTTCTCATTGGAAAAGCTTAAGTTCTCTTTCCAAGATCCCTGACTTCAGGAAAGGGTGCTAGGGAGCACAAAACTGAGTCTATGCATGCCTCTTGTCCCCTGCTAGCTACTCCATATTTAAAGCTGTTTCCATGATGTGTTTTCTGGTGGATTTTTTTGGTGGGTGTGTGGGTTGGTTTGAGTGGTGTTGTTGGTTTTGCTTTTTTTTCTGGAGACTTATTTTTCCCTGGCAGGGAATAACAGTCATGTAGGTTAGTTTCACTGCTGGCTCACAGTGACCATGTCCTTTTAATCTGCACTGTTGGCTGTTGTCTCCTTTTGCCAGATGGCATTGGCAACTGCAGACTGTTTCCCAAACTTCTTATCCAATTGTAATCTAAATAAGTTGTATTTGGTGATGAGTATCCCTGTGTTTACCAAGGTAAACTTTGCTTCATGTGATTAAATAGATTGCCTTGTGCTGTGCTCCCTTTGCATTCAATCCTCCGCTTTAAGTTTATCATGATGGCAGTGAACAGCCTGACTGCCTGGTATCTTCAGACCCATTCCTTCAAAAGGAATGACCAAACGTTTTGGGATTTCTCTAACACTCCTGCTTGTCTGCATCCCTGTGCTTCATCTGAAACAAGAGTAAGCTTCACAATAGTGTTCTATTGTAAAGTTGCTGAGTTTATAACTCTGAGGTGCATTGTTTAACTTCATGTTTCCAAAATAAAAAGGGTTTAAACTGATACTATAAAAAGTGCTGACTTTTATTCATCAAACTGCCCATACAGCTTTTCTGTTATGCATTACAATCTGCAATCCTCGGATACACCAATGCATGGTTTCCATTTTGAGCAGCTGGTCGCCTTCCTGGAGCACCACAAAATTGCCTCAGGTTCTCTTACCTCTGTATACTCTGTTGTGTTCTCATCATGCTAATCTAGTTGCAAGACTTCAGATGGCTAAAACAGTCTCAAAATATTTGTGTTGCACATAACTTCTGAGTTGAAAGTGAAATCTTGTGTTCTCTTGCTTCGGGGTTGGTTCTGTGCAACAAGTGCTTAGTTTGTGGGACGTCATTCCTTATGATGCTAGTCCTACGTTTTTTGCTTGATGGCTATTTTTGGCTTTTTATGGGATGAATACGGAGTTGCTGCTTCAGGTTGTTCTTGTTCATTAGACAGCAGAGACGACTCTGGCTACAAAGAACCGAATTTTAAAGTCCAGGGCAAGAATGCTGGACTTGGGTGGCTTTTTGTGCTTTGGATTCTCCACTTAAACCGCGGCGGGTATCAGAGGCAGTAGCGCTGTAAGCGTGAGCAGCGCGGCGTACCGGTGGCAGGGGTACCTGCCGGGAGAGCAGTCAGTCCGTGTGTCCGTGTGTCCGTCCGTGTGTCCCGCGTCGCTCGCTGGCAGCGGCGGCACCCCCGGGCTCGGGGGCGGAACGGCCCTCAC